ATAAGTAGGCAGTCCGAACACGTACCGGTAAAAATGGCTCAAATTATTGTCAAGAGTTACGGTGAAAACAAAAAAAAATGCCAACTTTGAAAATTAAAAGCAAAATCAACCGGGAAATTTGCTTTTATTAGATTTCTTGTTTTATTATTATATTTAAGTGTTTGTGAACTCTATTAATGGAACTCTATTTATATAGGAAAGTGCGTTCACTGTGACCCAAATGAAATCTTCGCTTCGGAAACCTCCCGCTTCCCCGTTAACATTATATTCTCCACTTACTAGTTAGGTTCGTCAAGTGCAGTAGGTGGGCAATTGTCGTCAAAAAAAGGGCGATTCCTGTCTTAACTATTAGGTTACCTGATCCATGTGATAGTCGATACTATTTGTATTCACAGAAAAAAAGTATATTATTACAGGTAATAAAATATCAGCCAAGCCTTATGTCATGACGTGAACGGAGCCAGACTTAAGTTCAATTTCACGTCTCACGAAAATGCAATTTCATCGAGAACTATGGGTTTCACCGCGTTGTAAATATTAGTTCCTTTCTTTTACTTCTTTACATTTCATAAAACAACTTGAGACAAACTGGCCTGCTCCTATGATTTTTTTGAGGGAAATTCCGTTTCGCTCAAAGTTTCATCGCCTGTCGTTGATCGTTCCGTTGCCAATTTTATTCCTGAACGACTTCAGACCGGGCGCCTAGATCTAAGAATAAAGAACTTCTCCCAAACCGCAGTAACTCCCGGCCGAAAGTGCTCTCGCTAGCTAATACGGGGCCGTTATGAAGTCACAAACACACACACACACACATACACACACATACACTTCACTAATCTAAAGAAAGACCTAATTCATTGGGGTACCCAAAGTAATTTATCACATCCACTTGGGAAAAATGGTAACACTAAAGAAATTTTTCCTGACAAACAAAACATGCGATTACACAGTCGACTAGTAAACCTAAGGACGGAATTATCAGATGAGTAAATCGTCACTCAAATCAACCTACGTAGCGTCATATCGCAACTCGTATAGGTACAACACCTTGCAACACAGGCAAAGACTATTAGTAATATCAGGCAATAATAATAATCTAACAGACAATTACGGAGAGTTTTGCTTTATCTATTTCTTGAAAACGTGAACTAACTTGGCTTATTTAGATGGCAAGCCCTTTGATATGAAAAATAGAACTCATAATTTTGTCTGTTGTTGTCGTCCACACGTAACGCTACGGGTGCCCGTTCTTAGCTTAATTATAGTTTCCAAACCTAATAGAACTATTCTAGAGTATACCGAAGAGATTCTAAGCTCACTCAATGAAATGGGATGGTGTAAAACATGTAAAAAAAAAAAACAAGAAAGATACACCTTCATATATGAAATCTTTCTTGTATGATAGATAAATTATGTTGGCTGCCTGTGGATCTCGAGAAGATTGGAGGTAAAAGTTGATTGGAGGTAAAAGCGTTAATGTCATTCTCGGGCCAGCCAACCATAAAATATATTAATCGTGATTATCATTGCTTCTGTTATTATATTTTAAAACATATACGATCATTTTTATAATTATAAATAGAATCGCACCTATTTTGCGATAAAATCACGTTGCTTCCTGGCTATCTGGAGCTTATCTGTCCGAAGCTTTTAAAGGTCTTGCAGTGTGTTGACCTGGCGGAGTCTGCGACATCATGGACATCAGAATTGTCACCTCAAGTAACGTTTTGCTGCTCGCGTCGCTTCGTCGTGGCCTTTGTCCCTGTAATCGCTTCATTCGAGCTTCATCGAGCTTCATTTCTGGATTGATTGACTGAAAGGAATGTTCACCGCAAGCGGGTGCAGCACCTTTGAGTCGTTCCAACACAGTTCAACTGTATTATATAATCATAAAAAACACGATATTCACATAGTTCTAAATGTATACCTTTCGATATTTTACTTACCTTCTCATCCTCCTTTTCATTGTGAACCACAGGCAATGCGTTACACCCTATTAAAGCGTCAAAGTTACGCTGCTAAGATGTCAGCGCAGAATAGCCTGAAGTTACATAGAGCTTACTAGCGCTCTACAGTCGAGTGCACTATGAATACCTGCAACAGTGCCTGTCCGGTTACGACCTATTATTTTGATCAAATAAACAGCCAGCCTTTACAAATCGCTTATTACACTGACTAAAAGTCCTGAAGGTGGACATGTTCAAGTTCAGAACATGTCCCTTATGAACAATATAGTATACAATGTTCTGGCTAATACAACTCGTTATAGAGCTAGATAGATCTCTGTCTACATTTATGACATGTGTTGCGCCCACTATGGCACGGGACTGCAGGGTCAACTATAGAATCATAGGAAATAGGATATGAAACAACCTCTCGGCTCTTATTGTGTTATTGGACGCTTAATCAGAATGAGATACGACTACCACCGTTTTCTGCTACCAAACTTCTTTAAATAGCATAAAAATGGGACTATAGACTCAGCTGAGCCAGGTGGCGTATCTATCATACATGCCGAAGGCATTTATGTGTGGAAATTGTGAGTAACTCGATCATTGTTTTAAGTCAACGGATTTTAAGGTTGATGATACATACAAGCACGGTTAGAAACAACTGCAGGGGTAACAATTCCATAAACGTGTTCTAAAGCATCTTTACGATAACGATTTCCTCACGGACAGAACAACTCAAACATATTTTATGAACCCGAATGTGGGTTCCTGATGCCGGTTCTTACTATATATAGAAACAAGAGAATTGCCTTTGAATGGATACAATTAGCACCATTTTGAGCAACGTTTCCGTGTAGGAGCTTCGCGGTTCGCGGCAAACGTTGTCATTGTCTATAAAATAGAACAAAATCGACTATCATTAGGTTTCTATGATGTTTTTAAATAATTATTTAGTTTTCCCAAAAAAAAATTACAAGTAACTTTTTGTTTGATGTAAACAGATCTACGGCGATGCTAACCAATCTACGAAGCGTCACTATGGAACTACGCCATTAACTAGTTATTACAAGTGTAAATAAACCAAGTTGAACTCGAAGTCCAAAATATTCCATTAAAACCTATAGACATACATTATCCTAGATAATCAGCGGTACGCATACATTTGCTTTAAATGATATTTAATTACAACAGAGTGAATAAACTTCATCAATCATCTATCCGTCGTTTAGGTGGATCACCGATCGAGGCTCCAAGGTCGGTTCCGCTCGGTCAAGCGCATAGCTATCAATCAGGAGCGCGTTCTAGCGCCGTGTTCACCTCGACTCGCTTAAGCAGTGTTTCATGTTTTGAGCAGCTCGATGGTTGATTTATTTTAACACGTGCTGACTAGAGCTTGACTCCATTTCCATAATAAACCAGCCGCAGGCTGACGACGTCCCACGTCTAATAGGCATATATGGATCGGATGGGCTCTCAGCCGGATGTCGATCACAAGGCTTCGAGCGAAAACGGGTCCTATTGTTGAAGCCACGGGCCTCACCCGCGGCCACACGCGCAGCAGATTGAAGGAAATTTGAAAAGTTGTAAAATGGGGAGGATGTGCAGGCTTTAATGTTAACTATGACTTCCGGCGACAACAGCATGCAACTGTCATAAATCTTTTCGTAGTTTCTATGTGTAACGCAGCAATTCTACGATAGCTTCAGCCTTGGATGGAAGCTAGCCATCTTCACGTTGTGGCCAAGACGAACCGTTAAGTCACCTTTTGTATTTGCCGGCGAACCTGAGCGACCATCACCTGTATATATAATAGTCGCAGCAATAATAACAATAAGATTTATATACCAACAATAGCGCCCCGCTCACTTGCGCAGTATACGCAATGATTCAATCCTATATTGCTACGTTTATGTTCCCTCAGACCCGGTCAGTCTCTGGATGGACGCACGTGTGTCATCTTCCTTCAACTAATTGTTATTGAAGACGTTAACCGTTTGCTCCGCTTGTCTTTTAGGCAGCGAGTGACAACAAATGTCCATCTACCGCTTTTCATAGCTCGCACGCAAACTATACTATTATACGCAGCCGTCTCCACAGGTCATCCTCCCATGGCATCTTCGCACCGCTACAGAACGACGGCGGGCATCCCCGAACCCACGCCCTTCAAAGCGAAAGCGTCTGCAACACATTCTGACGGCCAGGACTATCTATCGCCTCTACACTACCTAGTGTCTTCGATAGCTAAGAGACTCCGCTGTGGGACAAAAAGCACCGCGCATTGATCCGTTTGTTTGTCTGTCTGTTTGTTAGTCCGCCGGTCAGTCAGTATGTTACGTCCATTCCTTGCCACGAGCCTATTGTTTTACACATCCGTAGCAATCTCAGATGCTCGGCTCTACTTGCGATACTACTAGATAAGTCCCAGCTGTTGCCAGCTTACCGTTAACAGTATTACCGAGTCTGTTGTCCTTCGGAATGCAACGCGACTCCCCATTAGCGCCCCGTAAGCCCGTTCAGTAGCCAGGCCCCGACAACTTTGTCTCGTTGGCTCCCTTAATGGTCCTGTAGCCGCTCGTTCTTTTGAAAGCCCGAATTGGCGGCGCAACCTAACTTTACTAGTAGCCCCACAACTACACACGCAAACTAGCAGTTATTAGCGTCGCTTAATCCGAACGCAGGCACGCGGGGCGAGGTCGGCTAACCATCCGGCCACTGCGATGAAAGCGTCCCATTGCCAGGGCCAGAATACCGCCAAGCGTCACAGACAAGTTGGGAGAGGGAGAACAAACGATCCCATCCCGTACTGGCCGCAATGCGCAACCCGGTGTTGTCTGCGCGGATCGTTGTGCGCGGTTCGCACAGATAGAGATGCCGCGATTTGCGGGCCTTTGTGTTATGCGCTTATCAATCCGGTTCCGGTGAGAGCAGCGGAAAGGGCAAGTGAAGGGAAGGTCTCACATGTTCTCGCCTTATCTTCGCAGCCAGCGTTCGCTACGGTGGCCGTAGGGCATCGGTTAGGTTTTCTAGACCAAAGCCACATCGCGCAGTTGTAATATTGTTCTTCTAGGCGCAGCAAGTTGAAGCCCCTCTTGGAACTCTGCAGTTGTTATCCTTTATCGAGTGCTCGGGGAAAACTGTGACCCAGTTGTAAATGTATTGTCTGTGGATATAAAATGACTGTTGGAACCGAAATCAATAATTGATGCTGTGACATCCCTGTGGATTATACATATTTCCAACTCTCCCGAGGACTTCATAAGTTTCCTAAACGAATCCGTAACTGCCGCACAACTGATTCCGAAGACGTAGCATCTTGCTAAATTATATACCAGACTGGAGTAAGGTGGCGACGTGCTAAATTATCAAAGAGACAGTACCTCTCGAACGATCACCGGCTATGCATTGGACTATTGTCTTAGTAGCAACGGCTTGCGTCCATATATCATTAGCCGGTGCGCCGATAATTAGGAAAGCATGGCATTACGATAAAGCTGCGCGAATAAAGGCCCGTGAACAACGAGAGCTACCTCACACGTTTGTGAAGGCTGGTCTCTTGAGAGGCCTTCGAGGCCAAGCCAACTCTCGACCTGTTGACATCTATTTTGGAATACCCTATGCAGTGCCGCCGATAGGCGCCCTTCGCTTTAAACAGCCTGTCCCAGTGAAGAAATGGAAGGGGGTTCTCGACGCAACCCGGCCAGGTTCTCCGTGTTCGCAAAGAGATTTGCATGTTTCCCATCATTATTCGCGAGACGCCGCGAACTCAAGTGAAGACTGCCTTCATCTCAATGTGTTCACCGCGGCTCGTTACTGCTTCTCGCAGAATCTACTCCACTGCGGAGCTAAACCGGTGATGGTGTTTTTGCACGGAGGCGGATTTCAGAACGGCGCTAATACGGACTTTGTGTACGATTCGCGGTTCTTAGCTGTTATGGGTGACGTCGTCGTAGTCATTCCAAATTATCGACTCAACGTCTTCGGATTCCTCAACGGGAACGTCACCGGCGAGGTGAGTGAGTGGTAGAAGAAATCGCGTCTGACAACTACCAAATGACTAGCTTTTCAAATAAGAGATTGGTTAGATATACGCCGAGGGGGTCGAGAAAAACAAACTGTCTACATGGCAAAACAATAATCATGACTCTTTTGGCGAAGAGTTTGATTGCTTATTCATGCTTCGAACAGAGCTGATTCCCCCGAAATTTTTAGTAGCAGGTACACTGTTAGTAGACCTTTTTTGCGTTTAACCAAATTACGAGCATAAATATATCGTATTTGTGATCAGATAATTTTCTCAGGTTACCAACGTTGTAGTTGTATCCATGAGACCAATCAATCGAAAATTCACCAACTATGTTGCAAGCAACACTCAAAATCTCGACACCTAACAGCAGATTCAACAAAAAAACTATACTACTATCTGCGGTGTAAATCGTCACCTTTTCTGGCAAAGGCTAAGATTTCTTAGCGCTGAACTTCCGAAATAGGCAATGACGCCGGCGCCATGATGACCAGCAGTTTCAAAGAGGTTCCATATAGATCAAGTAGTTATATTCGCGCTAGACAAATCAACTGTACAATAAATTAAAATGAGAGGTTCAATGAACTTGACCAACCATGAGGAAGTTTCACCTAAGAACGCCGACTCATTTGTATTATGAGTATTAACATTAGGCGTTATCAACGTTATTGTTTGCCTACTCACATGTGTGACATTTGCGAGGCTTGAATCTGCATTCAGCATTAGCATGCACAGTAAGAGCTTGGATAGATAAGCTTGTTATGAGGCTTTAAACATATAGCCTTTTAGTAGGCCCTTTTAGCCTAAGTTATTCCAGCGTGTAAGATTGCAATCGCAATTGAGCTCTGTACATATAAGCATTCTGTTAAAAACCACTCTACTGTCTGTTTTTAGTTGCCGTGCTAAAAAAAAAAAAAAAGCCCAAGAATCAATCGATATTTCGAATGGGAAAAATTACAGAACGTAACAAAAATCGTACCGACTAAAAAATTTACAGACAGTAGAGGTCGGACGACAACTACGTACAACAAACAATTCTAGAAAATCAAGTCATAGGTACAATAAAATAGATATCTCGTTTCCACCAATACGAACAATACGCTAGAGCGTCGAATAAATGCATCGCAATTTTTTTTTTTTTAATATTTTTCGGGCCTTGCCTTCATTCGTGATGTACGGAACGATTAAAGCCCTCTGATACCTGATTTACGAAAACAATTATACCTTCGCTTCTACTCGAATGGCCCGATAGGTGGTGTCACTTTGGCGGGTGGCAGTCTCTCTCGCGCTTCTGCTGAGTGATATACCGATTCATCTAACCGACTGAGTTGGGCGACACTCCAGGTCGCAAGTCGGCCCTAAATCAAGGGCAGCAATATCGTACATCATTTATCAAGGGTAATACGAAAAGCGTCTACTTCCATGGATGCTATCGACATGTTTCTCCTATCTACCAAATGTAAACTGTGGTGCGATTTCCACTCTTGTTAGAGATGCCTGGAGGCACAAAAAGATCATCACTTTGTAAGGTAAAGAACTTTGTAAGGTTCTATTAATGTCCTAGACGAGCCGCAGAGATCTCGAAGCTATTAAAGATACCCTTTCCTTAGCACTATTTGGTGCTAACAGGCTGTAGTGGCGTTGAACACATGGGCTTAAGGTCTACGAAAAAGGCCATCACAGTTCTCTCCGAAATCTCACATCAATTTTTTTTTTATTTGCAAACAGTGTCGCAAAGCTCAGACGACATATTCCGTAATGATGACATACCTTGAGGGACGTGAGCTTTACAAGCTAATGATTCTCCCAATGACGACCAGTTACATCTATAATATACGCTAGCTTCGTCAATTTAGATTCGAGAAGACAGCATTATCGAAATAGAATGGTTTTCATCAAGTCGTCTGCTTGTGCCCAGATAGGGCTCTAAGGCATTTCTGAGGACGCACCGTGCGAAGTGGTGCCTGAGATTGACCGTTATTCAACAACTATAATACATACAGGACTCTACGAAAAATAGTAACAAACCATTTCACCCTTTTTTTTTTTTTTTTTACTGACTTTTTTACTACTTTTTTTTATACTGACTTGCATTACCTGTATATATGCAGCGTATTTTAACTGTTATGGCGCTGCCGACGGATGTATACATCAACAGTGTAGATCACAGGTTACTAATGATAAAAATTTAGTTTTGTAATACTTTGCGATCCAACCCGTAAGTTAACTCGCGAAATCAAGTGTTCAGCTTACATGTTAAGCGATTGACGCGTTTTCTCGAATTCGGTGCACCGTCATTGATTGACCGCAGTTCAGCACTGTTTTTTAACCTTCAAAAAAACAGAAATGTTCGAATTTGTTAGCAATACCGTCAGAGACAAACATCTTCAAAACCAGCTTCGGCCACTCCAAGATCCGAAGAAGAAACCAGCATCATGGCAGATTTTTTTTCAAATATCGCTTTTCCATTAATAGCACTTCCAAATTATAGGTCAGTACTTAGAATATCTGGATTTAACTTACTACTGTGCGTTCTTCTAAAATGTGTTACATTTTCCTACTTTCTTCTAAAAGGTATAAAAAGTTGTCATAGTTCTGTATTTACTAGGGGCCTAAAATGCACTCTTCCTGTTTTGCGTAGTAGGTATCTGTCGCTCTTTCCGAAAACTAATAGGTCACGCCTGCCGACGGACGAACATCCACGTACGAAGATTTACGTCAAACTTCTTGCATTATTGTGTTGCAACGCTCGCTTCTGCTAGTCAACAACGTCCCGCCCGAACAAGTCGATGCGCATAACGTTCCTTGATGTCTTTTCTTCACAGTATTACGACTGACTCTCAATTCGAGTTCATCATCAAATGATTCGTGCAGAAGTTTTGTGAGTTTGTATGCCGTAGCGAAACGGACGTTCGCTATGTGCGAGAGATTTATGAAACGTTATATATATACGCTTAAATTACTAAAATGGAAAATCATTATTAATTAGCTCAGGCGACATCGACGTAGTGGTAATAATAATAAGTTTTCGCAAAAATTAGGACAAAAGTACATCCATTGCGTTTTTTTTTTTTTTTTTTTTCATAACTTGTCTACAATAATGGTAAAATGCAACGGCTCGCGGCTCCACCTCGGGGCATTGATGCCTTCGTTACTATCCAAGCTTCTATTTCAAAGCTTTAATGAGAATCAATAGTCAAGGTGGATGAACGTATCCGCACGCTAGTTTAGATAGACAATACGAAATTTCAGCAGTTGTACAAAACAAATGGCTCATCACAGCCAAAAGAACCCCAGCGGGGTGTGATTTTCATGAAGACAACCGTGACAAAGGTGTCATGTGTTCATTCTTCATAGTTTCATCTGTGGCACTAAACAAAGCTGTGCTTCTGTTATCTTGCTGTAATGAAATGACCATCTAAAAGCTGGCACTAGATACTCCATTTGAAATTGAAATGATATCTTGATCTTCTTAATTATAGGAATTACATACATGCACGTGCACGGATCGAAAAAGAGATACTTAATTATGATTAAAATTTACACCACTCAACATCATTCGCTGTTTTATGGATGTTCTCAAAGACAGCCTAAAAACGCTGTCCTATTTTTTCGTACCGTTCGGTCCCTGACGTGTCAAAATGCACAAATTTACCTAGATCAGCTTACTTTCACTTTCGCATTTAATTTCGCGCTCAATGAAAGCCGGTCTCGAAAAAAAGAAAAAAAAAATGCAATAATATTTCAACTAACATATCCCAGTAATGGAAGTGTGTTAATTTGTACTGGTCAGTATCATTATGCTTTTTGCCGATACCTCTGTTACGCCTCATCACGCTTTTTTATTGGAGAAAAAAATTTCTCGACTAATGCATTTTTCAATGGGCAGTTAGCCTATGGGCGGGTTGGTCCGCCGAGTTCCATGAAGTGATTTGGTAAAACATTAAGTCTCAATATATTACCGTGTCTGTTATTTAGTCCTTTATAAAGGGCAAGAGTCGTCGTGTGGAAGCGAGGATTACTCCTCAATCAGATCAGAGCGCAGATTTAGCAAGGAATATACACACACCAATTGATGACTGAGTAACAAGTCGCTTAATAAATAGTCAAGTGGTGATTTCAAGCATCTACGTAACTAACCGTTATTGTGAAAAAAATGAACGATTTTAATATGAATGATCCCTATTTACGTACGCTTTTTGTACGTAAATAGGGATCATACTCGCAGTAACTACCAACGTGTCTATATTCAGCTTAGTTCCGACTGTACTTCTATCATATAAACAGCAGTTTTACAGCAGCTAAGCCCACATCTTTCTCGAGAGTTGATGTCCGTTTTTACTTTGTCATGGAAATGAAAAAAGCAAGCGTCCACAAAAGACGGCTTAGATAAAGTTGATCCAACTCTAAAAATGCATTCGCTCTATTGCAAGCAAGGAAAAATAGGAAAAATTTTTATTTATATCACAGAAGATACGAAAAAAATTCGCAGTGTGTTTTTATTGATTTTTGGATTTATTCGAAATATGAGATCCTTGGCGTCATAGTCGACTGCTCAAATACCGGCTAACGCTAAATGCGTACGCCGTGGCTGCCTTAACACTTTATTATGAGAAAAGGTAAATAATTTTTTTTGGCGAAAATTATTTCACATATTAATCGTCGACTTTTTCTCATTGCATTGCATTGCATTACAGGTACCCGGAAATATGGGCTTATATGACCAAATGCTGGCGCTCGAATGGGTCCAGAAAAATATCGCTTCATTCGGCGGAGATCCCCGTCGCATAACCGTGTTCGGCCACGGCGCCGGTGCTGTTTCCATTGGCTACCACCTATTATCACCTCTTAGTAAGGGTCTTTTTAAAAGGGCAATCCTTCAGTCAGGTTCACCGTACTCAAAACTTCCAGACAACACGTTCACGGGCAAAATGAAGGTCCAGCAGTTGGCTTTGGAGCTTGGCTGTGATAAATATATTGTTCGAGGGCAGGTCCTGGCATACCCGCGGGAAGTTCTCAAATGTCTACGTAAGGTGCCTGTATCAACGCTCTACGCGGCGTCCGCGAAGCTCTTCGGCCCTGAGGACAACACGATGATTCCGAGTTACTTCAACGAGTTCCTTCCTCGAGAGCCTATCGTTGCCGCAGAGCTGGACGGTTACGAGACCGATGTAGAGGTTCTTCTTGGCACCGTTCGCGATGAGGGTACCCTTCCAGTGAATCAGTTTTTTTGGAAGATGTTTGGCCTGGATTCGTTCTTTGGCGTCCCCGTATCGGATATATGGTTCTATGCGTCTCTATTTTTTCAGTCTGTGCTGGGACGCAGTGTAGAAGCGGTCCGCGGTGCGTATTCCTCAGAGAACGCCACTACACGAGAGGCGGTGGAGGCACTCGCATCAGCTGTGGGTGACTTCGTAGTTGTGTGTCCCTCAGTGTATTTTGCTGATACCTACTCTCGAAGAGGAAATAAGGTCTGGCTGTACCAGTTTGCCCATCGACCCTCGTTCAGCGCATCACCACTGTGGACCGGTAAATATTGAATAACATCTGTTCATGTATAAGCCTTCGCGACCCATAACGTCGCGCGTGCATATATCTATATACCTAATTGAAAGCTTTGCATACTCTCAAACGAACTATTTACCACAGTAGAGTTCATAATCAGGACGCTACATATATGAGAGAAACGATTTACCACACCTATTCATTATTAAACTTGAAATAAATTAATTCCAATGGAGAAGATATTGATTGAATCATTGCAGTCGTGTTAGGTGTAATATGCGTATATGTAATAGAAAGAACGAAGCATGAACAAGGTAACAAAGTGTTTTCTTTCTTCTTTTAATGCATAACCCTTTTTATCTGTGTAACTGCACAAGAGAGTACCCCTAGAACTTGAAGGGGCCCATTGCTTTTTTCTAATTTTAGTCAAAGTGTTCCTTTGCTAAATAAAATTGAGTATAAGTAACATTGAACCCCAGTTAGACGGGCGAAAAAAACCCAGCTTCACTCAGTGCTTTGTTTACGATTGTCCTATTATATAGCAGCGTAAGTGTAAATAATGAGTACTTCGGTTGTAGCTTAAGTCCTTGGATGTCGGCAATGTGCCGCCACAGAATCATTGACCTATCGTGTGGCAAAACTTCACACTAGAACGACCGGCACACGCTGGAAAACACTCAGATGTACAGAAATTTTGCAATTACTTCTATGATTATTATTGGCATCGTTAACGAATGTGAATCTTAATGGTGCTGATAAGTATGGTTGGACGCCTCATAGGTCTCCCTGGGTCATACCCTGTCATGTGTGTCCAATTCCGTCCCATTGCTGGTCAAGCCATATTGCCATTTTCATAGCACGAGTACAATATCTACGAGACGGTATGCTATTATTATTTGGTCAGAGTCACGTCATGGTTATACCATAATGTTTGTTATAACAACGTGATACACAGCGTCCCGTGTTTAGAGCGTACAAACTGATCGGCCAACTTTACTGCTACGTTTGTACAAGTTTGCCCCTATTTCTAGAATGTGTTGTGGACGATTTGTCATTGGCTTCTGAAAGCCTTCCCGCCTAAGCCGAACATCTAAATTGAGGTTCCACCGTAAATTGCCTACACCCATTGGAACACAACTACTTCGCCAATATACACGCCGCGTATCTCATGGTTACTGCGAACGTTTTACTTCAACGTATCTCTCTGTTGCGCTGTAGCCGTAAACCTGTTCGTGCATTGTACGTATATAGCAATGCCCACTGCGACGGCGACGGCTAACAAAGGATCACGAACTGCCTAAGGATGTCATGTTTGGCTGTCGGTCTCGCGACCATTGGCTATCTTTCGGCTTCTACGACGCGTTTGTGCGGACACCATTCGGGTGGCCTTTCGAGACACATTGTAATCGTCGTCGTCTGCTTTTGGCAGTGCGCAAATGTTATTTTAATGATAATTATGCCCATAGCAATAATTATCAACTATGATTAGAAGTATGACCGGCACATTTTCCTGTATGCGCATGTATATATATATATATATTTTTGTTTTACATCTTATTATCATTTATGTATGCATTTATATTATTAGATGAGCTATATAGTTTTATATGAGCTAATATAGCTCACTGATGTCTCTGAAGAAACCCTAGTTTCCCATTTAGGCCTGCCTCCGACTTCGCGAACGGCCGATAAGGAAACCGAGCAAAATCAATGACATTCTGTCCACATGCTTTGGAAACATGTTGGAGATATATATTGATTTTAGGTTGTTTAGGTTGCTATGGCTGGGAAAATGATTATCCACATCATTGACCTTTATTAAAATACATTCCTATAAACGCAAAACAATCTGACCAAAGTGGATCGTGATCGAACTTGTTCGATGGAAACGCGCGTATCTGATCCGATACGATCATTTAAATCCCACAGAAGCCACGTTTACCAGGACACTGTTAGGGACGTTAGCCCGTGTTTAGCTAGGTAGCATGCCTTAGAAACATACGTACTTTAATCCAGCCAAGTATAGCTTTATTCATTGTTTATTTTAATTTTTTGTTTTTGCCTATAAACTCTATGGCAAATGCAACAATTTCATGCGGAATAAAAGCAATGGCCACTGACAGAATGGGGTGCCATATACGCTAATTATTATATTGCAAAACATATTACACAGTGACAAAAAAAAACGCAAATCAAATAGACAGTACGTGATCATTTCTGAAGGAGATACCTTAACCCTTAGAATCATCTTCGAGAGTCGGGCGATAAATAAAAGCACAAAATTTGCTCTACACAAGCGTTTTTCTTTGATTCTATTATAAAACACCACTCTTTGAAGGAAGTTCACGTGAGTCACCGTACGCCAACCTATACGACTTCCAATCACTTCACCAAGAATGATTCTACGAAGTCTATTTACAAAACACAACATTCATTGTGTAACCAACGCCCTTCGCTCTCAATAGCGTACATTAAATATATTTCTGAATGGCTATTTTTTACAGCTTTCGTAGTCTGCCGATTTGTGTAGCTGCACACCTCACTGTTCAATCGATTGGTTTAAAAAGAAATGCAAGGAAAAGAACAGCGTTTCAATAAATGCCCCCTTCTTGCGTCGAGGACGGCACCTGTCACCGCAGCGATGCTATTTGCTCAACAGAGCTTTCTCGTTGATTCATAACGAACTCCGTCTCAGTCCACTGAAAGTATCCAGTGAAAGTAAGACTGGTATCTCAGTCCGCAACAACTGTTTCTCAAAGGTATGTCTTGACGGCGTGTACCATAGCTGATTCTGCTGTTTTCTACAATACAGGTGTGGCTCACGGCGAGGACGTCAGCTTCGGATTGGGCTACCCACTTCTTTATCCGAAGATCTCAACCGAAGATGAGAAGCTTCTGGCGAGACGAATGATCAGAATCTACGCACATTTTGCTCACACTGGGTAAGCATCACTAAATAATGATGAAGAATATAACACACCCTGTAGATATGTATCATTTTAATTTAAATTCGCGTCCAATTTCATATGGCTCTTTTCAGTTGTCTCCTTCTTGGTACCTTGATTTCGAGTTAGTCACATTCATATATCGAAGTAAAAAGATACTTTATTACATGGGTTTCAAGACGCTGCGTTTCATGTTACTGTCCGAGCCATTCGAAGTAAATTACCTCAAATAACTAAATGAAGTATCATCAAGTGAACTTTTTTTTTTAGAAATTTTGCAGAAACACACACTGAATAACAAAATCAATCAACAAAATTAACATATCCTATTTATTGAAACAGTTAGACAATGTTTGGTGACTGAAAAAGTTGCTGCACTAAATAATATATATATATATTTATTATTGTTAGAATATAGGAACTGGGATTGGCTTTGTCAACATACCCCTTTTGAATAAGACAGATGGTGGATGTAAATAATCAAATCAAACGGGACGATCGTGGGCTCTACGTCCCAAAGACGACGTTCTTGTATTATGCGATACTAAATTTCGTTTGAGACCTTCTGCCTGGGCCATTCGACCATGGCCAAAACATTAAGGGATTATGTATTGAATGAGATACTTACAACGATTGCTCAGGTCATCAAGCGTTAACATCGAGGTGTTTCGCTTTCTGATTGCCTCGCAATGGATACGTGCGTTCGCAATGCCGTATGCTAATACTCTGCCGACCAGTCTATTCTATATTCTATTGATGATCAAGCAGATAACAAGCTCTGATTCTACATTTAACTACTCGTAAATACTAGTCATTGCAAAAGTTTACCGAACAAACGATAACCTTCAAGCGTCTAGAAAAGCGAATCTGCCCAAGTCGAAAAGGACGTCCTCAAACGATTTTGGCCAGTTAGTTGTGAACCGACCGTCCTACCGTCAACACTGTCCCATCATGTTAGTCTGCAGGCACGCCGTGTAGTTAACCAGCTATAGACTCCGCACCCGAACGTATGAATCGAAAACTACATCGATAGATCACTGCCATTTAAAATCCACTCGTCCGCCATCTTCTACACTAAACATTGCTAACATTTGAATCTATAAAATCACTGGTCTTCTACGGTGCTGCAAGCTTTGTCGTTGTTTCGCTGCCGTCGCTGCTTATCGTACCTATCTGGCTACGCATTTGAGAGACAGGGTCGATCAACGCCGCTAGTTTGGAACAATGCTTCGTTACGCGCTTTTTGGGGTTGGCTAGCTACTAGGTTAGGTGATGCTGGCCGCTTCGGAACGGGACATTAAGCCAGGTTTGTCACGTTGTCTTAGGGAATGTCGGGAGCAAAATGTCGGCCGAGTAGTTGATTCTGCGACTGCCGTTGCTGTTGTGGCCGGAAAGCTCTGATAATCAGACCGCGTGCAGGCATTGTTCGTCCTAGTCCGCAGTAGCGCTCCGACTCGCTTAAGGCATCATGTCATCGGTAGCTGCTTGTACAACCCCCAGCGTCCAGTGTTCTTGAGGCGCCAGACATCGAGACGCTACTCTTATTCGGTGGCTGACTCGCGCCAACATTCACACTATCGTAACGTTACCCCCTTCATGGCGGCCATCGGTTTTAACGTCAACATCGCCGTGCTAATCTATAGACGACACCTTCGAACAACGACAGTGTCGTCGGTCTGGACTGATCGAAATGTAACACCGGCTTGGGCCAGACGCGAGTCGAGGACGAGCAGGGCAATAGTACCCATAATAACAACATTTTAGTTCACGTCACACTGCGACAACGGGACCGCGTCGATTTGATAGACCCGTACGGGTTCGGCGATGAGCTATAGGTGGTGCGCCGACGGGCTGCACGGCGTGTCTGGCTTTTAGCTGTAAAATAGTACTTTATTTCACAGAGGGATATGCATTTACAGGAAATTCATTCATGCCTGCGTGCGTTCCCTGTCGCAATTTGGCGTCAATCACCCTCCACAGCGCCAAAATGCATAAAACATGGAAGCATCCTTATTATTATTATAACATATTTATGTGTGAAGAGGTAATATGGATTTATTTTGATAATAGCTGATGAGATATATGTGTAAGATGGCGCAAAATTTCAAGTACATACAGAAGAGGAAGTTGTTTCTTTTTTTTGGGTTGCTGCTCGTTCACAGGTCAGTGATGCGCTGGCTTGAACTGAATCAACGCTGGTAGAATCAAGGTTAGCGATAACCGATACAGGGACCGTTTTTCAGCACTTTTTTAATCTTCGTCAACTACGTAAGGCTGCTATAAGCGCTGGTTACGATGGGAACTCAGTCGTAGCGACGGTCGTTACAATCCAGTTCCCAATACTATTTCATGTCCAGATGAGACGCATAGACTATAACGCCTGAATCATCGAAAATGTGTGGCACCGATTATACGCCTAGCACAAAATTAGTATATAACACCGCATATAATGAGTGTAGCTTCTGGACAGCTATTACAAAATGTATGCCCAATTGAAATTCGCATAGATCCTTTTGATTACCACAAAGGAAACGCTCGCAAGTAGTGATCAATTACGTGTTTTTTGTTTAGATCGCGCTAAGTAATATCCGTCAATGCAACTCTTACTCGATCAGTTTAGAGTCATATACCGTCCTTGTATGCTAGCGGGATGCTTCTTGGTCAAATATAAGAGTTAAGCTGGACACTTCATCGAACCGTTTTCTTACTTGCGTTGTGTTACATCGTACGAGGGGCTTGTCCTGTTGACGTTGCGTGACCCCGCTCCCAGGGGCTCGTTACATGTGTCGCAGTGTGGCAGGGTTGTGTGTGTGTAAAGTTTTTAAGTTGTAGCGATTCTCCCTCTTACGAACCGGGCGTGGTCGTAAGTGTAGCTGACCAATCTCTTTGAAACGTCTAGTTAATTTTCAGAAACTGTTCGGGGGGGTAGTATTCTGCTTGGAGTTTGGTATTGAACCGTTAGGTCAACATTACCTAAGTTCTAACAATTTAACCAGCTTCATTCGTTACAATGGAGGCGCGATAGACGAGATGATATGCATGCCGGTCACAAAAAAGCCCCTAGAACAAATCAGCCGTAAGGCTTCGGTTGACAATAAAGGAGATAGGCTTAGCCAGCTTGAACTCATGCACATCCTTCTTGGCTACACTCCTGATACACGTAAGCAAAATAACACCAATTATCACGAAGTAAATACGCAGATATTTTGTCATAGGCAAACATCCGTTGTCGCTTGTCGCATCTATCATGGTACGGCTGATATCATCCGATAACCCCTGTCAAGATTACGAGACGCATGGATGAAGACGAAGTCAATCATCGCAGTAAAGAAGAGAACAAAGCGAATATAAAATACGCAAAGCGAAAGAATTTTTCAACCCGAGCCTCAATGAAGCCCGTAATTACTTTACGAGAGAAAGCACCGCATGAGTGAGTCTGAATACTATCATTATCAACAATAACAGCGACAATCTCACACACGCACATTTATGCATTTTTTAGCATAGCACCGAAGCCAACATATAACGCCGTTACAGAAGGCCATCTTCGTGACCATTTTGCCCCCCAGTAGCGACACCTGAGCTAGTTTTTCTGGGCATAGCCCGTGTTTAGCTGTCGCTATACGCGTTACGATCATTTGTTTCCGGCGCCAACATTGATCCGACGTTAAAGGAGCCAGGGTGCCGACGTTGAAGGGTGTAGCATGTGGGCGAATCCAAGGGGATAGAAACATTCAAGGCGAGTCGATCACATTAACGACAGCTGTGCTATCCATATCAATGTGATTGCCATTATTGCCCATGCCGTCTATGTTTATGTCCCTGCTGCCCCTTATACAGTTATTGATGGTTTCTTGTCTTCGGTATTGGTTATCGCTGGCTCCCCTTAAAAACTGAGCCTATAGATAACCAGTGTTTACGTATAAAGGATTAGTGCTTGACAGTCGTTTGAGCTCTTGGGCAATATAAACCGCTAACCGAATAATTATTTTTCTCAAACGTTCAATATTGTTTCATTGTTTGATTGTGGCCAACGAGAACAGGGCTGTGCCTGTTTGACACGTACGTGTATGTAGAATCAAGGGAAGACGAGAGGATTCTGCGAACACGGATTATGAATCTCGAGCTGACAAAAGTGCACAGAAGAGGTAAGCTAGTAAATAGAGACCACTTTATCATGAAAGAAAAACCGATTGAATTATCGTCGTATCCCAGATCATAATAAGGTAATATGGCGGCAACTCCTTAATAGAACTTCGACGTTATGTAAGCACTTAGGCACAGACCATTTACTGACACAGAGATCCCCAAAATCGGCGAAATCGTTTATACGCAACACGATAAAAAGGTGCTAACAGAGCTGAAGGAGGGAGGGAGGTAGGTAGGCAGGATAAATGGGCATTTACTTGAATCTAGCTTCCAACTATGCCCTTCTCTATTTCACCCTCTTATTATTCATTATTCCGACTGATGCATCGCTTCATTTGTTATCTTCCTATGCGTTACACAAAATGCAAGAAAAGTCGCCAAAAAAAAAGAAAAAACGCAAGGAAATGTGTACGAGAAGACGGCGCAAAGAGGCAAGCCAAGTAAAAATACACATCTTTGTTCTATCGTTTGAGCGAGCAGAGACGAGATGGGCTCTGTCCAATATTGCTTCGGTTACAGTCCGACCCGACTTCGACGGATGACCATGAATGCCTCGTTTTTCTTCAACGGTGGCGGAATCCGTTTTCCTATTGCCGCTAGCGCATCTGCCTTGTCGCTCATCTCGTCGCCTTACCAACGCACCAATAACTGAATCTAATATCGGTTACGTGAAGGATTCTTGGGGGTAGATATGAAATGATACCGCGATCATGCGGCGCACGCTGGAAAAAGCTCACTCAGCTAATAAATTCACCACAAATTACGTACTTATGCTGCATAAATGTGTGAAACGGTTTTGTTTAGCTAAGCGCATAGAAGTTGCGCGAATGAACGCGTGCATGGACTTC